GAGTCGTGTTTTTGAAAGTGTCGATAGTGTTTTCCGTTTGATTCTCTGGTTGTTTCTTGAATGGTATTTCATTTCTCACAGAGTAGCATGCCAACAACAAAGTGATGATTGGTTGACATATCTATGCCTCTTAACGCTAACATTCATCACAGAGTGCCGTAAGTCAAGCGATGGGATCTTCCACCCGCATAGGTTCAGAATTCCAGAGCCTTGGCATTTTGTGACGATGGTCCAACAATGTCGATTTGGTACTTTATGGCCTCATCAACTAACTCTTGTTTTTTCCCTCTGAGTGAGGATATGTTCCAATTTCCGACTGTAAGCTCCCACTGGCGGTGTCGTTATCGTGGAACCTTTTCTGACGTGCTGTTATGGCATCGCGCTGTCTGCCTCCTCCGTTTAGAACGGATAACGACTCCACTTTTGATTTGTATCTTCGTTAACGCTTTGTCGATCTTCAGCAGCCGCTACCGGAAGGCAGTGAGCAGGTACTGATCGCCAAATTTTCCCAGCCTGTCTCAGTTCGCATACAGCCTGCGTAGCTTTTGGTATATCTAGCGATGATCGAGAGGGTATAATATTCGTACAGCAATACCGCTGGACGCAGATGGTTACGTTTAACGGGTGATTCCCACGGTCCCAAACTCTCCTCCTCTCTCATCCCTGCGTTGTACCGGCAGCGGCGTAGCTTAGCAAAATATAAAAACAGATATTGTCATCAATAAGGAAAAACATTCGATAAAAGGGCAGTAAATTTTTCCCTATGACATTTTCTAACCTTAGGGCGCGTTGTTTTATTATGTACCAGCATCGTAGATGATAACTTGTTCTGATAAAAAGACAACGTTTTACGCCCTGGAAGCCTTGGCTAGTTAATTTGCAATTTTCAGGCTTTCTTCCTTTTCACCTTATTTTTTACTGTCTTCAGCTCGATTATGGTCATCGAAAATGAGTGCTGTCTTCCTCGGCGAAATAATGATATGAGTGAGAAAATTTCAGCAGAGCTGTTCTGGAAGATTTTCTGTTCGTGATATCAGCTATGAAGTGCTCCGGAAAATATAATTGTTCGAACGTGCGATTCTTCGTTTAAACAGTAAATGGCATTATGAAAACATTTCATGCTTTCTTTAGAGATCAGTAATCAGACCCTTAAGTCTTTCTTCCAGATTTGAAATTGGAATGTCCTCTTCTTCAGTAGAAGGCATAATAAATTGTCAGCTTTGATTACCAGAGTGTCTTTAACCGACCGTTACAACGTCTGCGGTTAGGTTTTCGCACTTCACAGCTACCGTATCGATTTAGAAATTTGCAGTTCGCTTTGCATACGATCTCGCATGTTGAATGTTTTATGCTCTCTGCTTTGGGATGCCGATTCTGGAAAGCGAAGAGCGTAGCAACAAGTGAATCTCTTTCTGTTCATTCTAAATTTGCAAACAAATTTATCCGTTCTGAAAGAGACCTTTGATGGAAAAAATTTACAGGAGAGCGATAGATTAATCTTATAATCTTTGTCTTGTGAGTTCTTAATTTCATGAGCATTCTCAGACAAGGAATTTTGCCTAAAACCGCAAAAAGCGAAGTTCGCGAAGCGTTGGGCGACCTCAGTGCTTTGAAACGTAAATGGGAGAAACTCATCGTCTACCAAATGAACGGCTTTAATTGCGGCTATCAGCATAATGGCCAAAATCATTAAAGTTTTTCCCATAACTGGACTGGCATATTAGAGAGATTTGGTGTAAAACGAGCAAAATGAATTATCGATAACACTCAAGTAACATAATAAGCCTACGTGCACCATCAATGATAAAAATTACATATTTTATTAGATAGCCTCAGACCGTTTAAGACTTCTTTGCCTTGGAATCGAGTTTAACTGTGGTCTCATTCGTGCTAGCAGCCCACTAGTGAAATCAACGCAAGTAAATTTTACAATTGTAATAGGTACATACGCAATTTCAATGATCCACAGTTATGCGCTAAATATGACAAAATTGTAATTACATAAAAATGTACACAACAGCTATCACGCAAGCTCTCTGTACTTAAGGTTCGAATCTGTGCTAGTCAGTCGACACCTGAAAAATACGTATTGGACAAAGCTAGGAATCAGAAAGCCTGTCCAATTGAGCACTTAATGAGTATCTTTGTGATTGGCTACTAAGGATGCTATATTAATGTAAACATGTACCAATAAACATCGCAAGAAACTTTGAGCAAGGGCGGCTAAAACCTACAAAATAAGAAACATGCGGCATGTCAGAGGTTTCATTTATAAGGTCTGACTTCGAACTCTCTCGCTCTGTGATTATAACGCCACTTTCGACGCGTATTTGGTTTCAAAATTCTGGCACGACGGTTTTCAAGAGAAAAGAAAAATCAGACATAGCAAAAGGATGGTTACTGATTGCATGGCAAATTTAGGCGACAGAAGCGAAGCTATTTCTCAGAGTGTACGGTAGGGTTACTGTAAATGGGTTGTTCCCGCACCTCTTAGATTGCATGCAAATTAAGATGCAGCAAACACATATTGACCGAGATGTGCAATAATACTTATAATTTGATGAAACGATTTACATAATTACTGTCTACAGCATTATTAGCACAGCCTAACCGCAATTGGTTGTGCATTATAGATAAGTTGTTTATGTTTTCAGCCGGCATAGAAT